CGCAGAAAAAGCAATTTCTGATAGATAGAGGCCGTCATTAGCGAAAGTCTGTTTTCCATGCACAACAATTTTGGATTTCTTTCTCCATCATGACTTATAATAAGCGGCTTAATCTGAAGTTGTGTGGAGTTTGTCCGTTACGAAATTACAGTGAGGAATGATTTACGATACTAAACATCATGTGAGGTTAAGATAGCGAGTATGGTTCATTTTTAACTACGGCTCACTTTGCAATAAACCGAACAATGATTTGAGAGACAAGCTCTCAGAAAGTGAGTTTAGCACGGTTCACGATGCCAGTGCTTCACCTCTGCGGAGCAGAGGTGAAGCACTGGTTTTATATAAACTCACGAGATCAAATAATTTGTTAGCGCATTTGAACTGTTAATTTACTACTTAAAGATAACGAGGCCTTGTGAAAAGTGTAACAGTCGAATGAAGAGATTAACTTCATTTGCCTAGACAACTGACCAAAACTTCCGTAGAGTTTGAAAAAGTTCCGCGGTCACCTGCGGATGCTTCCAAATGAGCTGCGGAAGTTCCGAGGATTGCAAATCACAACAGCAAAAGAAAACACCAAAGCGATTGATTACCGAGGCTCACCTACTATCCCCTGCACTACGGATGACATGTTCGAATGCAAATAATGGGGGGGGGGCACTCGGAAGGCGACAATCGGCGGAAAATAGAGGGTGTGTATCATCCGTCTCAATGACTTTCACGGATTTCTACTTGTGGCATTGAGTAATGTATCTGCCCCCACCCCCACCCCCGTAGTCCCTCGGGGTGTCACTTTAACACCGGAGAGTTTTTGATAGGCACAAAATTGGGGATTGTCGCCTTCCGCACCACACCCCAAATAATGCGCTCTAGTTGTTGGCTAGGCAACATCATATGCAAGCGCATTCAAAACCCTGCGGAAGTACTGACATGTCAAAGTGCTGCACCGCTGGCATTTTCGGAGGTTCCGCAGCGCTTTGTAAAAAGCCTGTGAAGTTCCCGTTCTCTGTGATGTTTAGCCTGTGAAGTTCCCGTTGTCTGACGTGAAAATTCTGCGGATGTTTCCATCTTCAGCGTTTCCACTTTTGCAATACTAAACAAACTCCTGCGTAACCGCTACAAATTTGGCTTATACTGCAGAAGTTCCGGCAAATTATCTGAGTGGAAAATGGAAAACTAAATTCCGATTCTGATTGTAACGCATAGGAGTCCGATTCAGAGCTCAAACTTGCAAATTTGCATATTTTTCCCCTACCTATGAAAATCTTACAAGTTTGTTTTATCAGCATTTGCACTTTGCCTTGGTAAACAATAAAAATTTGATACCTGCTTGATCTCAATTTTCACATCATTATTCGGTTCTTGCTTCATTGTTTTTACAGGAACTTGAAATGCCTACCAACGATTATCTAGATGTTGAGCAAAAATCAAATTATGCAAAAACCCATGGTTTTGCAAGTGTGACAACATTAAATGCAGACAATGTGTTGACAAGGGAACCTTTTTTGATTGAGGTGGCATTTTTACATAAAAGTTTTATCACTCTGTAGAGCTTTGAAGGATGATTTCAAATCTGTCTTCTTTTTCTGCGGAACGACTCTCCGAAAATACTCAAGAATGTTTGAACTTCAAAATTTCTCATGCAGTGGGTGCCACAAAATTAGCGAAAAGTTGCACAAAAACAGCTGAAAGTAGGCAAATCAAATTTGTGCCCAGTAAATCTTATATATAAAGCTGAATGTCTGTTTTTCTGTCTGTCTGTCTGTCTGTCTGTATGTCTGTCTGTACGTATGTTCCGAATAGAAAATTCCATTTCTGAACCGATCGGGACCAAACTTGGCACACATACACTTCGGGCCCCGGCGGGTGTCATAGGCTACTTTTCGTCATCGATCGATATCGATTTTATCGATTTTTTGCAAAATTTGAGCTACGGGGCTGGGATTTGGCACAGGGGGGTAATCGAGCATGCTGATTACGAATACAATATTAGTTTTTAAAATCGTGCATTACTTTTATCGATTTTATCGATTTTTTGCAAAGTTTGAGCTACGGGGCTGGGATTTGGCACAGGGGGGTAATCGAGCATGCTGATCACCCCCGTGGGGGTTAAAAATCGATAAAATTGGCATCGATCGATAACGAAAAGTGGACTGTGACACCCGCCGGGGCCCGAAGTGTATGTGTGCCAAGTTTGGTCCGGATCGGTTAAGAAATGGAATTTTCTATTCGGAACATACGGCGGAGCCGGGTAAGCCAGCTGGTTAGATATAAAAAAGGAACATGGTCTGTGAAAATCCGCGTAGGTGTTTCTGTACAGCTTTTCGCTAATTCAATGCCGCTTAAAGGCACCGTCCACCCATGTGGTCCTTATTTTGATGGCTAACAGTAGTGCGGCTTTCAGCTGTATACTTGCCCAACTCGAGCTGCCAGAAGTTGCTTCCCAAACGAGAAAATTGTCTCAAAAAATTGTCTCAAATTGTCTCTATGGATGACGGATTCGCCATGTTGACTACTCCTCTTTAAGGGGCGTGACGTTAGTCCCGCCCACTTGAGCGCACTTAACCGATCACCGTTCCACATAACTCGCCCTGCGGGTTGTGTGAAACGGTGATCGCTCTCCGAAGCGGGGTTTGCCGGAGTTTTTGCGGTTTCTGGACTTGATATTCGGAATTAGGGACATGAGAAGGCCCCGGAACGAGAAAAACATGGAAGCCGAACTGGGTGAACGGTCCCTTTAAGGCTAGACAAATTTAGACTTCAAACACTCATGACTTCTTTCGGAGAGCTGATCCGCACAAAGGGAAGACAGATTTGGAATCAATGTTGATCCACAAAGTGATATAGATTTTATGTGGGAAGGCCACTCCGATTAAAAAAGGTCCCCTTGTTAAAAGGACCTGTATACCATGGATGGGCATTGGAACTGTTAAGCACAGAGCATCTTTCACAGTCTTTCTTGTAAGAAAGCAAAAAGTCAAAAAATTTGGAAAACAAGAGTAATTTTGTCAAGCGCAGTTAAGCAAACTGTACGAAATCATATTAGGTTTTCGCGAAAGCTTTGTCCCTTTTTTCATCGCTCACTAGAACTCCCAGAACAGCAGTCCATGAAAGGCTTAGGTACCATTTTATTTAGACTTTTATCTTCTTTCTTACAGCTAAATTTGCTCTTTGATCTAGTTTATCCTTACAATGCTCATGCCATAGCTTTCTGAGCAGCTCAGCAGTAACGCAGTATCTTGAATTTCAAAAATTTTTATCCAGATTTTTCACAGAGCAACTATGATCTGAAGCAAACCTTTGGCTGCATTGCACCCATTCTAGATTACATAAGCCACGTTTACCAAGCCCGTCATAATCATATATCTAATAAAAACTTCTTTTTGATAACGTTTACCGCGTGAAAGTGCCGAAAATTTCAAAAAGCTGCTTTTCCAAAGCAAATCAAACTTGGTAAATGTTGTTTTATAATGTTCAATAAGAATAATGCTTTAATTCGCAGGAACTTCAAAAGCTTTCGTGCATTTGCTGCAGTTGCTTGTTTCAAAACTTTGCCAAAATTCGAGACCTCCGAAGAAATAATTTTTTGAGGCTAAAAACAGCAGAAGAATCTAGAAATACTATTTTGTAGTCCTATCTGACCCATACTCAAATCTTTCTAAATCTTTGAGATGAAATTTTCGAAAATTAGCCTAACATTGAGCAATTTCCTCCAAAATAAAGCTCTGATCTACCGTTAATTAGTTTTCACGGTAGAAAAGCTTACTTTGTAGGAATCTGCTGAAAAAATGAGGCACTATTAACTTGCAAATACGTAATGAAGATGTAAATTATTGTTCAATATACACTGTTGCCCGAAGAACGGAAAAATTGCATTGCCATGTCTAAATTATACTGTGCCTGCAAATTGTCTACTAAACCGTGTAAATTCTAAATCAGTCTATGTAAAATGCTAGTATGTATTCATACCTTGAAGATTATGTCGAATTTACTTATAAAGCCACGCATATTGTTTATTTTGAGGAACGGTACTTTCTCCGGACTTTGCATATAATATCTTACTTTTGAAGTGTTGTAAATGTAGTAGAAGTACGTATTCGATAGTTTGAGACAGAATCCAAAGTCAAGTAAAAAGAAATTCTACAACTACTTGTACAGACATACGTTCAATACGAGATCGTATTGAAAAAAAGTCAATTGACGGAAAAAATCCGGTCATCATGAATTTTATTGGTGATTGAGTTTTCCGTAAAGGTATATGCTGTAAAAGCAAAGCCGAAAATAAAACCAGAATTTATTGGACACTTTGGCGTTTTCAGCGACCGTTCCAAAAACCACAGTTTTATTTGCCTTTATTAGCTTTCATTGCCGCTGTATAACAACAATAATTTCAGCTTTAAGCGCCAACAAAAAGGGCATAGCTTTTCTTTTCCGAAACATGAAATTTAGAATTGATTGCAAAATTGTTATGATTTGCAACGAATTAGGTGCAAGATTTGCCTTTCAACCTAATTTAGTGGGTAGAGCAAGAGTTACCGCCACAGATGCTCATAGGTAAATAGTCTTTATATCTCTCTCTATAATCGATAGTACGCTTTGTGAGAAATAAAAAGTATCACCACCCTTGAAGAATGAGCGAAATATATGAAGTGCCGTGCATCCGATTTTTAGAGATCTGTACATCTCACTGATAGAATAAGTACAACAAATGTTGAATTCTCTTCACGTGGAACAATTCATATATTTCGGTGAGCGAATTCGCCTCCCTATAGTAGAAAAAGTAAATCTTTGAAAGATCCTAGCTTTCTGGCCCTGTTCTCTTCCCATATGTACTGGAAAGGCAACGTGTGCGCCTGAATGTATTGTAAAAGGTAGCATGCATGCCGTACCGTCAATGATTCGCTATAATTTAGCCTATATGCAAAATACATTGATGTTTTTGAAGATGATCATGGAACTGATGGTATAAATAAGCTATCGCGGTTGTCATTTTATAAAAAATGAATTTCCTTGTATTCATTCTTTCCCTTTTCTTCTTCGGTGTCATTCCAACCACACCGTTACAACCGATAGACCTTAACCTTAGCAGGGAAATATCGCGATGCTTTGGTGAATGTCAAAAAAGGATGAGGAAAACGGAAAAGGTGAGCATCAGTCTACTAACTTTCCGACTTTTAACTTCTGCTGAAGTTAAAGCAGAGTAGTTTTCTGCAAAGAGAAGAGCTAGGTAGCTTAGTTTAGTAACAAATCTATTTTCAATCTTCTACAAGATGATAACATCAGTGATGGTAGTCTTATTTTGTGCTTTTGCGTGATCTCAAATAAAGAAGTACATTACGGCTCATAATTCGTCAAAAACAGCATTGTTCCAATTGACCTCGTCGCATCGCCATATCTTGGGTTCCAGTAAACAATTCTGAATCCAAAGGCAACATTCCAAAGCACAGGTGCGATGAGGTGAGAATGACCCCTCTAGGGTGAAGGGGGTCACAGCGGTCGCAGCCCCTCCGGATGAAAGGTGTTTCAGTTGATCAAGAAAACATACGGAATACTTTGCAAACATGCACTCTGCTCGTATCTTATGTTCAGCTGATTAAAATGGAGCTTTGATTTTTAAGCATTTACGAATTTCCTAAAAGAAGAAATTCGTAACTTCTGTAGTTTGAACGGCAACGTCAGCAAGGGAAATGTTTTTAAAACCAACTTGTCTTCCGCTTTTAGAGAATATATTTTGCCTGGAGTCTATTGAAAAAGTGCCTGGTGAAGAGTGTGGGTAGGGCAGTGAATTCTGGATTTTTCGAGTTTTTTGGATGGGAAAGTCCATAACTTTTGAAGATGAAGATATCGTACGCTGAGATGATTACCATTGGAACCGCCTCGTCCTCCGCTTTCAGAGAATATAGACAATGCCTGGGTCCATTAGAAAAAGTGCCGGGTGAAGGGTGGGTGACACTTTATAATGGGAGTGCTCAGATAGACGTCTTTTTCCAGTGGTAAAAAAGCCTGTACTTGAGCATTCCCATTATAAAAGTCTCACCCACCCTTCACCCCGCACTTTTTTTACGGACCCCAGGCAAAGTATACATTTTCTGAAAGCGGAGGACGAGAAGGTTCCAATGGTACCATCACGGCATATAAGATATTCCTCTACGGAAGTTATGAATTTTTTCATATTAAAAACTCGAAAACCAGAAATCACTGAGCACACCCTTCACCCAGGCAGTTTTTTGGATGGACCTGAGACAGACTGTATATCATCTAAAAAAGAAGGACGAGGCGGTTCCAATGGTGTTTATCTCGCAGTAAAAGATGTTCATCTACAAAAGTTATGAATTTTTTTATGCTAAAAACTCGAAAATGTCCAGAAATCACTACTCACATCCGTCACCAAGCACTTTTTTCAACAGACTCCTCCTTTCCTATACATAAACAATCCACTTACAAATATCACCTTTACTTAACCTTACTTTACTGTTGATTTTTTTCTCGGCTTTTGGTGGAGAGGGTCACCTTGGTCCCGGCTCAGGGGTGAAGAGGGGGGTGAGAAAATTCTCATACTATCGCACCTGTGTTCCAAAGTCTGCTGCACAGAACCGCCCATATAGCTGTAGGTTGAACATCTGCGAGCGTGGTGCATGCTGCCGCCGACATCATAATCAAGCGTCAATACTAGCCCGCTGGCCACTGATTTAGCTATGCGCCAAAGACGTTCGCGAGCGTTCAGCCTACAACGATATGGGCAGTTTGTGAAGTCGAACATACTTAGCTCGTTGTGGTACATCTTCAAATACAGTGCCAGTTTAGATCGGTGGGCGGTGCTAGCCACAGGTGGCTTGTAGTTTAGGGTCAAAGGGGACTTCGTAAAAATTCGCAAAAGTCAAAGGGCACTCCGTCTTGTACATTTTTCAAGGTCGGTATCGCAGAGCGATCATCAGGAATGTAAGGATCGCAGAGCCAACGCCAAGATGCAAGCTTCTGAAGAACGCATGAGAAAAGGAACATATCGCGCTTCGGATCTAAGAAGCGCAGGGGAAGAAGCCGGTGGCTCGCTAACAGTTTCATTCTTCCTCCTCCACGCCAGTGAAGAAGGGTCGACTCGCGAAGATCCCAGCGTCAAAACCATCGTGTTCGCCATCTGTTATTCTGTTTATTCTCTCGTTTTGTACTGTCTTGGAATATCGCCTTGGAAGTAAATAGCTTGGTATCGGTGGTGGTCGAACAATTATAGTCGGGCAGCCCGACTCCTGATGGTGGGCGGTCACATTTCGTAGATATGCCTATGGTTTACTCAATGCACGCTGAATAGTCACACTACTATAAGTAACCTACCGTAAGCAAAAACCAAGTTAGTACGGTATGTCCCATCGTGCATTTGCCGTGTCCAGACAAGCAATCCACACAAAAAGGATGCGTCTTGCTGACCTGGATCGAACATTACATTCGGATCTGGAATTCGTCCACTCTACCAAGATATGACGATGCGAAGCTGATTTCGGCAAAGTCCTGATTTCGGCAAAGTCTCTGCTTAGTTTGATGCTTTTTCAACAAATTATGAGCGGTATTTCGTAGAAATCACATTTTTCCTTTGTCTGTTAGAATTTCATCTTGTTTTCGGTCACACAGTGGCGAGAGATTGCTTACATATTAAAAGGATGCTGATAAGGGAAGGAATCGAAAGCACCATGGCCTTTTTTATGACGTGCAACCTTTGATTCAACTGGCTTGGCTTCGCGAAGGCGGGGCTTTGTGACGTAATTAAGGCAGCTCGCGCCCGCGACGCACCTGCGTCTCTCTCGCGCCGGTGCTCTCTGATCGCTAGCTAGCCGTAATAGGTCAAGGAGCCCCGCTTTTTCGAAGCCAAGCCAGTTGAATCAAATAATATATCTCAAATCTGCATTCGCTACCAGCAAAGTCATTTAAGAAACTTGTAAACATTTACTAATGATTCTTCGATACGAGCGGAAACCATCGCTGTAGGGCAGTTGCTCGTTCCAGGTCAGTGATATCATTGATGATTCGCTATCGTAATCAGACTAATTGCTAGATATGAAGAGAAGAGCATATATTGCAATTCCTATTAAACCTCAGCAATAGCTCAACTTTGTCATCAAAAACTGAAAATTTTTGCAAAACTCCTTCCATACAAAAAACCGATTTGTAAATAGCGAGCGTAGATGTGTGGTCAACTTTCTAAGACAACACGACTATTTTTATATACATCTTATGTGCAAAGGCCACGGTGACCTCGTTTCAATCCCCTGTGAAAATTGCAAGAAGATGAAGTTGTGGAAGAAAAGAGTCATCTTCTGAAGGTACTGTTCTTTCTGAGAAAACAAATTGTTATGATGTGTCGTTGTTATGTGTTGTTATGAATTGTCACAACTAACGTATATGAATAATTTTTGCTTTACGTAAGTATTTTCAGAAATCCGTTAAGAAACTCGACGCAGAGAAATACGGTTGCTACATTCAATGTGTCGATTGGTTTATGAGAAAATAGAGCAAAAATATACCTCCGTTCATCAACAGGAAATTGAGGAGCATCAACTTGTGCAATTCCCAATAAAGATTACATATTGTAGGATAATGATTTCAATACATCGCTCTTATCAGAAACACTCCTACGAGAAAATGGTCAGAACTCAACGCAGCTGTTCTAAACAAGTTGTAAACAATCGGACTCGTCTCAGAAAGCTGATTTCAAATGAAAGCTGATTTCAAATGTATGTTTTCCAACTGCCAAGTGACTACCTGGAAGGAGTTATGAGTGCACAGATATGAGAAACTCTTCGAGTTTCAACGAATACATTTACTTGAAAGACAGTCTGATGAAGCGGATTTACAGTGGATATGATTATTTCAATCACAGGAAAGAAGCACATCCATCAGAAACCTAGATAAGTGCTTTTAATCTACTTCGTGGAACACGAAATAGATTGTCTTTTTTGCCAGTTGCCTTTTTTTTCCTTGACCACCTCGCTTTGTGGCACCGCATCCCCCTCGCAGCAAAATGTAAATGATCTCTACCGCCCCTTACCACTTGGGAAAATGATTATATGCTTTCGTTTCGCTGATGTAGGTAAACAAATCAAGGAATCGATAGAAGGACCAGTGAATCGCCGCGAAAAGTAGCCTATCAGCTGATTTTCGGCTAAATCGGTTGGACGCCGCACACTTCTATAACGCACATACCGTCAAAACTGACTTTGAGTTTTATCAATATAGAGATATGCAAAAAGTGTACTATCACAGGCGCGATAGTGTGAGAATTTTCTCACCCTCCTTTCACCCCTGAGCCGGGACCAAGATGACCCCCTTCACCAAAAGCCGAGAAAAAGGTAAGGTTAACACATTGACGACCGTTTAAACGTGAATTGTTTATGTATAGGAAAGGAGAAGCTTGTTGAAAAAAGGGCTTGGTGACGGGTGTGAGTAATGATTTCTGGAGATTTTCGAGTTTCCAACATTAAAAAATTCATAACTTCTGTAGTTGAACATCTTGTACGCCTTGATGGTCACCTTTGGAATCGTGCCGTCCTCCGCTTTTAGAAAATATATGAAACGTTTGGTATCCATTCAAGAAAGTGCAGTGAACGGTTTGCCTAGTGATTTTTGAGGATTTTCGATTTTTTGACATTAAAAAATTAATAACTTCTGCTGATGAGAATATTGTACGGCCCATATGGTCGCCGTTGGAACCGTCTCATCCTCCACCTTCAGAAAATATATAATACGTTTGGGGTCCGTTGAAAAAGTGCCTGGGTGAAGGATGTCCTAGTGATTTTTGAAGATTTTCGAGTTTTTAACATAAAAAATTCATAACTTTTGGAGATGAACATCTTGTACGGCGAGATGGTCACCATTGGTACCGTCTCGTCCTCCGCTTTCAGAAAATATATACTTTGCCAGGGGTCCGCTAGAAAAAGTGCCGGGTGAAGGGTGGGTGAGACTTTTATAATGGGAGTGCTCAAGTACAGGCTTTTTTACCATTGTAAAAAGACGTCTACTTGAGCACTCCCATTATAAAAGTCTCACCCACCCTTCACCCGGCACTTTTTCTAACGAACCCCAGGCAAAGTATATATATATTCTGAAAGCGGAGGACGAGACGGTACCAATGGTGACCATCTCGGTGTACAAAATGTTCATCTACAAAAGTTATGAATTTTTTTATGTTGAAAACTCGAAAATGTCCAGAAATCACTAAGACACCCTTCACCCAGGCACTTTTTTTAATGGACCCCAGGCACTGTCTATATTTTCTGAAAGCGGAGGACGAGGCGGTGTCAATGGTAATCATCTTAGCGTACGACATTTTCATCTTCAAAAGTTACGGATTTTTCTAACCTAAAAACTCGTAAATATCCAGAATTCACTACCCACACTCTTCATCAGACACTTTTTCAATGGACTCTAGACAAGCTATATATTCGAAAGCGAAAGACAAGATAGTTGTAAAAACCTTTTCATTGCTGACGTTGCTGTTCATCTACAGAAGTTACGAATTTCTTCTAAAAATTCGTAAATGCTCAAAAATTGTACCTCTTTCCCGAAACAGATGTTCTTGCATACACATCTTCTATGGTATTTTTAAAAACATATAGGGTTGTTCCAATTCTATCAGTTTTCACATTTTGGTAAAAAGACAAACAATGATGGCAGAGAATTCAATATGATAAACTTTTATTTGGAAAATAAGAAAACACCATCACCTTCTCCTCTCCCCCCCCCCCCGTCGGCATTTTATGATTTCTCGATCAACTGAGACACCCTTCACCCTGGAGGGATTGCGACCACTGTGACCCCCTTCACCCTGGAGGAGTCATTCTCACCTTATCGCACCTGTGTGTACTATATTACCCTTCATGAAGGAATATTCTTTAAGGATAAAGTGGGACATATTTATGTATTCTTGTATATGTAGTTGTCGTAATATTTAGTCATTTCTAATGGAAACAGTAATCAACTCGGTTCTTCAAAACGAATTAGCTTTATTAATCATTGTGGTAATCAGAATGTATGATTATTGCTTAGAATTATGTTCATGTGTTTTGATAAATAGTGACTAACAAGGGAACCGTGTCGAGTCGAAGTGGCCTTTTCAGATGGGACCCATACTGCTTTGAAGAGCATCGATCGGTGATTCTAAATCTGCTTTCCAAATCTGCCAAGCGCCTCTGGACGCTGAGTTATGCTCGTTTTTCAGGTCAAATAATTGAACGCAAAACTGAAGCAAATTTGCTCAAATGGTCCAATGTCAAGTATCAGAGCTGTTTATGCAATGGATACATTTTATTTATTATGCTAATACTTAACATTGCTTTATCTGAGCGCTGGAAAGATTGTAACAATCAATTTTGCTTTAATTCTGCATTCATTTTTCGTTCCGAAGAACGGTCATAGCTCGGCGTCCAGAGGCGCTTGGCAGATTTGGAAGGCAGATTTGGAATCACCGCTTAATACTCTTCGAAGCAGTATGGGTCTCATCTGGAAAGGCCACTTCGACTCGACACGGTTTCCTTGTAAGTAATCAAATTTACTTTGCAATCGCAAAAGGGTGAGGCGCAAGTGAGATTTGTTCAATTTTGTTATTCTTTGTCAAAAAAGGCTTTGGCAAATAGTAAAGACTTTGTCAAGAACGCAACTATGTGCAGTAGGCGTGGGTAAAAAACTTTCCCACGGCCGGCAGCAACTGTGTTTTTCTAGTATGTATTTCAGCGTTGGCAAGTTGTTATCTGATATATAAAGAATCGTAAGCGCAATTCAAAAATGTGCACATAGCGGGAAACCACGTGGCGGTCCCGTAGCGCGCATGCTACTAGCACCTTCAATTGCTGGTTCACTAGTCGTTAGTTCGCTTTCGCTAGAGTGGGCGGACCACTGCAGTCATGACATGACATGTGATCGATCGATAAAGCTCCATCCTAGAGCATTGTTTTTTACTCTTTCGCCATGAAAAGCCGCCGCGCGTGTACGTAGACAGTGCTCCGCCCACTCTAGCGAAAGCGAACTAACGATACAAGTAATTCCAGCTAAGAATTCAGTAGCATTAAGATAGATAAGAATCATACTTATGTGCTTTGCAACAAATATAGAAAAAAAACGCAGAGGTTGTATTCTAGAAATTTATTTTGAAAGGAAGAGGGTGGAAGGCAAGTTGAGTTTAGAAATTCTAATTATATGCAAGTAAGGTCATGCACTATAACTGTTTGTTTCTGTTTTATGGCCGTATGACATTTTTCCAACTGGATTTATGCTAAGTGCTGGTTGTCAAAAGCACGGAAAAACTCAATTACATAGCAGCATCCTACATTTACTTCGACACATTGTTTTAGAATATGGTTTATAAGATATCAATGCAAGCAAGACGACAGGCATGGAGCCGAAAAAAAAAACATAAAAACAACTTCCATGTTCGACCTTCTATGAATCTTGGCATGACTTGATTATCTTATATGTGTTTTTGAACGGCGGCCAAGATTGGTATACAAACAATTTATTGGTTGGCTAACGTTTCGGCGCCAACGCCGTCTTCAGAGCCTGTAATCAAAAAACGTATGTGTGAAGTACTTGCTGGCCCCTCTCGCCGTTACGATTCGAACTGTGTTGAGCACGAGACCAGCAAAGAGCCAGACCATATCTCACCTTATTCGACGTCAGTCGAGTGATCTGACCGCTCGTGGTCAAGCCGTGCAGAATGTGATGGTATGCCTTTGCTCTCTGTGATGTTTATACTTTGACAATCAAAACCGCAGAGGCTTTGATATGGTGATAACTCTTTGATTACGGTAATGCACTCGTCCTTTTTGTTCATTTTGGGATTACGTGACGTAATCCAAAATGCTTCGAGTGTCTTGCGTGGGATAGTTTCTTGCTCGTAGGACAAGATTATGGCAGCAATATCAAACGGCATATTATCGTGCGACACTCTGCTATGTGCACTTAGGGGAGTGGATGCTTTACGTTTTGTGAGTCCGACTAAGTGCTCTTTGATCCGTAGACACAATGGTCGTCCGGTCTCACCTATATATTCTTCACCGCATACTCGGCAGGTAATAAGATAGACGACCCCGCACTTTAGGCAATCACCTGGTCTTCCAAAGGGACATATCACGCAATTTGGTGTTGAGCAAATATTGTCATATGCGCGATTGCGGATTAGCTGCTTCTTCAGATTGGGAGGAGGAATGTCTACAACTCTTACATATTCTTGCAAGCCCGCTTGATACAAACTCCTCCTAACAGCTTTACTCAAGTCCTCCGTTACGAAAGGTATGCAAAAAGAAACTTTCTGGGTGTCTTTCTCATGCAGTGGGCATCTATTCGAGTTACTACAGCTAGCGGAACCTTTTTGCAGATATCCATTGGATAGTGCGATGTCTTTAGCCAGCTTCAGAGATGCCATACGTTCTTGAGCGCCAGAAGAGACCATTTTCGCTGTTCTGAACATATTATTCAAGATAGACCTTTTCATGTTTCGTGGATGTGCTGAGCAGTAGTGAACTAAGATATTTTTATGGGTAGGCTTTCGGTACCACTTGGTTTTCCAAATTCCG